CCCCCCCACCACCACTTACCTGAATCGTGGGGTTCTTCTCCCCGCAGGTTTCCATTTTTTAATTTGGCACAGATGACAGCCACGTCCATTCATTCATTCTTTTGACAGGTCACCGCAGGAGAGGGACTTGTAGCTTCATGGGAATACGTGTGCAGTGACGTCACCTTACTTGTAGTCCATTACCACTTCCTCACGTTACTACATGTTGATACCTTACTACAGACATGGAGGGAAGGAACAGGCTGTAGGAGCCAGAGGAATGTACCTGCCATCTACTGATCACGGTTGCAATGCTTTACTGGCTCCTATGCAAAACAAAAAGCACATTTTTTTTCTTTTATGAGGAAGTGTGCATTTATTATTTTTTTTTAGCAAAAAGTGGAACTTCCCTTTAGTATTACATAGAAGGGGAAACTAAGTAGGATTTTAAGAAAACAAAAAAGGTAAGCAGCTATTTTTTTCAAGTTTTGCGGTGTGAATGGGAACATGTAACAAATATAAAGTGTTCTCTGAATTTGGCTGCAAAAGTGTCATGTCAGCTTCAGCAACAGCTTAGACTTGCCTACCCTTTGTTTCCTCCAGCCACTCCATTCAGCAACAGAAGACAGGGGAAGAAGCCCCTTCTAAGCTCCAAGTGATGGAAGACTTCCTCCAACCCTCATGTGACAGCACTAAGTACATGAGCAGCCAGCTGCCAAATGCAGTGTCACATGGGAGAAATGTAATCACCGTGGTTCACCGGCACACACAAAGAAAAGTTCCGAAATCAATATTTTGTTGATATGTTTCTTTGTGAGATGTCACATCATGTCATCAGAGGCTCCTGTGATTACCACTGTGATTACTTTGAGTAACACCTCAAACACCACCAATACTACGAAGTTGTGAGACCGCAAGTAGTGCAGGTGGCCATCGGAAACTAACATGGGATAAATGGGCGTGAGTCACATATTTCCCTATAGCCTACCTTCCAGGGATTTCACTTCTCTCCCTCAGAAGTAGGATGAATGAATGGAAGGTACTTACTGGGGCAATCATCATAGTGATCTTGTTTCCCTTTTTATAGGATAACTGAGCAGAAAACAAAATAATTCAGCTGCTGTATGCAGTCTACGTCTATAGTCTAGGGATGTCATTTGGGTCTTCCTTTAACTACAAATCTCTCTTTCCAGTGGAAGCCCACTTCAAGCATAAACCATAGCACAGAGGGTTCCTACAACTGTTTACAAGTGCACAAGATTTATGGCAGAGCAAAAATGTATCTACAAGGTGAAGAGACTACAAAAAGGGAAAAATCTGAAGCCCACTGTGATATGCTGGGAGCAGCTCTGCCCAACAAGTTCTGCTTTCCACTACAGTTCATCCAAGGACTGAGCATGCCAGCGTAATGTCTGTCTACGTGTTTCGTGCCATACCCATCCTCAGCAACGGCCTCAGTGGAGGAGATTTGTGAAGTTTATCCAGTACCTGAAGGGAAGTTCATTATCACACTGCACCCAGATGGTGCATTATCCAAGGATCATGACAAATTTCAAGTGAACCTTTTTTTTTTTTTAATGAAGTGTAGAAACTTTGATGTCTATAATCAACATTCCCTGAATGGCTTGTCCTCCTCGTGTGACTTAAAAATTCACTGAATGACCTCCATCCTTTATAGTATGGGCATAACTGTAATTCTTATTAAACCACTAAACAGTAAGGTCTCTGGCTACTGAAGAAGGATCCATTCTAAATGATAATCAGGGTGTAGACTAGAATGAGGGATCCCGAAACAGAACCGTCACTTGTTTTTACTTTCCAGACTCTGATCATTCACAAATCAGCAGCATCCTGACTCCTAACACATTGCATGTCTGTGCCATTCTGTCCATGTGTCAGGAAGATGGGAGCAGCTTGATGAAGCACAAAAGAGAGCTTGGTTATGGAAATTTGGCCTCCCCATTATACTTGTTACATATGCACAGATGGAATTTAGAGTAACCTGTCAGAGATTTAAAATGCACCTCTGCCCACACTATGGATGTTAAAGTATTTACCTATTCTTAACAAGCAAAGAGCTTTGAAACAAGCCCTTCTCACCTCTATAGCTGCTTGTACTTTGAAGTAATTCAGTCTCAAAGACCACAGACTCTAAGTCGGGTAACAACTTAGTAACACTTGCTGTGTGTTTACATTAGGGGGCTGTCAGTCTGTAAAGATTCCGGTGCAATAGAATAAAATAAACTAGGGTTTCAGTGCCTCTGTAACAAACTTTGAAGATGAATAAATCCACAAAGTCTATAGCTACAGAGGAGAATGAACACTTCTTTGAAAGGGCTTTTGCAGCTTGCTTTAGTGTAAATGTTTTAGTGTGCATAGTCTGGGCACAAGTTCTCTTTAAGGTAAGGTCAGGCATTGCGGTGGCCATAACAAGTTGACGTCAGGTGGTATATATGCCGCAGAGCAAGGTCAGCAAACAAAAAAAAAGAAAATGATTTCAGCTCACACCCAATTTATCAAACACAACCAACCTGTTCAAATGTAGGTATAAGTTTTACATGACCATTTTATACTTTCACCTACACTGTATATGTCCCACCTCCAGAGTTGAGTGTACAAAGACCTTATCGCATTGTATGCACTGCAGGCAAGGCACAGAAAGGAATTTTGAAGCCCAAGTGAAGTTTCAGTATTTTAGAGGCCCTGCTATTTGCGTCCGTCTCACATCTCAAAAACGTACCCAGCTGTTTATATTACATAGAGCCTACCACACTCTACAAAGGCTTTGTTAATATGGCCCTAGGGTGGGATTTGTCAGGCCACTGCAGCCAGGCCGCTATTCTCACACAAAGTGCAGTGGTTCTTCTCTACAACGAAGTGCGAGGCAAAGACTTTTTTTGGAGGAGCAAAAATGGTGATTTAAAAGAGAACTATAGCCAAACTTTTTTTGGCTGCAGTTCTCTTTAGGGTCACAGGACATTTACTAATATTCTCCGATGACCCAAAACTCAGCATATAGTGGCTACTGCTCGCTATATGCTGGCAGCACAGAGCCGCACCGCAGCAAGGAAAGGTCCCCACCCTATTGCCGGGAACCACCCCACTGCCTGATTGACAGCTGGCTCTGCCTCTCTAGAGCTGTCACAGCGGTGCCTGCTCCCTCCCTCGTCTTGTCCCTCCAATGAACGCTGGAGGAATAGAGAGAAGGGAGGGGGGAATCCCTGCGGGGAGTGGTGAATGACAGTCACCTCTCTGCAGGGAGAAGATCATGAACTGAGTGATCAGCAGTATGTGACTGCTCAGTTCTCAATCTATAGAGCCGACGTGTGACAGCTGCAGTGTCACATGTCCGCTCTACCTATGGGGATGCGTGGACTTCACTCTGCCCATAATTCTCCTTTAAAAAAAATAAGGCAGACCTAGAACACATTGCTCCAGTTTTGGTAAATTCCCCCTTAGTATTTTGCTGCACTCCTATTTTATTAATTAGTATTTGCTCTGAGACTTCAGTTGGGCTTTAAAACAGTGTAGATAAAGATTTGGTGTTGGAAGCAGTGTTGCACTGGCCATAAACCTCTTATAGGATCATTTACACATAATGGGGAGGGGTCTTAAGGTAAATAATAAAAACTGATCTCAATGCCTTTATAATTTACATTCAAAGCTTTAGAATATTTGTATTTATGCTGTAAAGTGTCTGTTTTATTGAATCTATTATTTGGTGGAATGGGACCTTATGACTTGATATATCAGTGAGCCATGCACACAACCCTGGTATGCCACTGGCAGAAGGCAGGCCTGTCTTAATCACTTACTGATGTGTAATGACAGTTGTGAATAGGGGTTGGCTTTACGGTACAGATGGATCATGTATACACTTTTTGTGTCATGTGATTCTTGCACACATAGATTTTAGCTGCTCAACGGGATAGACTCAGACTCATCGATAAATTCTTTGTGCTCCAAGTCACATGTTCATGCCTGAAGAAGACAAGTGGACCTTATGTATCAATGTGTTCTTACTATGGACTGGAGGTACTTCTCAGACACAATCAGACCTAAAGTTTGGAAATGTTAGGGGGCTGTAAGGAAATAAATCCAGTCTTAGATAGATATAAGTTAGGAGCAGTTTATTTTCTTAATTAGTCATATCGATCATGTTTATTAACTGGGCCTTGGATATAGAACTGGGAGGATGAAGCCCTAGCAACCTATGAGAATAAAATGTAGAAGTGTTTCTATTGCAGCTTTGAAAAAGAGAAATATAAGTATTGTTTGTGGTTAACGCCTCCATGTACTTTCCTTATTTATAAACAAAGCCCATTCATTAGCAGCTGAAGATTTAATAAAGAGTGTAATGCCCAGTGATGTTCAGTGCCAGCCCTTTACCTTGCCAGATGTCCTTAAACCACCAAGTGCTGCAGACGGTGGTCTGGGTGCCTGTTTGTTACCCAGTAAGCAGAGCGGGTGGTAATTGCTACACAGGGTCCACACTACTGAAAATACGCAGTCCAGGGCACCACAAAAATGCTTAACTGAAAGTAATGCACAGACGATGAATATGAAATTCTATACTGAAACACATACAGCAAAAAAGAACCTCCAAATGGTAAGAACACGTCTAAGGGCTCATTCACACCAGCCTCATTGGGCAGTGTTAGCCAACGCAGTCCTAATGAAGAGACAAGGCAATTTGCCTTATGTCCTATTACTTCCATTCACACCAATGCGCTGTGTCGGTGTCTTATGAAGAAAAGAAAAAAAGGGACATGATGCATTTTTGTGCGGCTGAGAATAAAGATTTGCTTGAAAAAAAGGAATCACAGTGTGCATGCACAGACGTTTGCAAGGCACGCACACCTTAATGTATTCCCGCTGTTGTGAATTGTAGATTCGAGAAATAAATCCAAAACTTGAACCAATAATAGTGCCAAAATTAACACATTTACATTTCTAAAAAAGGTAACTGATAAGGTCCTCAAGGTGTGCGTGCGTGTGGCCAAAATATAGTAGCAAAGGGGCCTTGTCAGAATAAAGGAACAAAGTAAATGGGGCCGTTTCCTATAGCGATTGATCAGATTTTGGGGTTTTTTTTTTTCTTTCAAGAGAATAAAAGATAAGCATAGCAATGATCGGCCATTATTTGCAGCAAGTTCACCATTCAAGTGCAGTGATAAGGGAATGTGAATATTTTTTGCTGTATGCTTGTTTCACTAAAGATTCCTAAGATTTTATTTTTCTAAAACACGTTGCCTTAAATTCATTGTCTGTGAGGCAGGTCATATGGAACAATGTTTTCTATTGAACCGATGCAGGAATCAGGCAGGAATAGTGTGAAGATCTAGTACAGCAGAGGGATGCTTAAGTACGGCGTCCACAACAAAGTTTGCCTTACAGTATCCTGTAACCTGGAAGCAGTTTCGAACACTCCCTTATAACAGGACAAAAGGTTGAAGTGTATTTCAAGGCAAAAAAAAAAAAGTCCCATGTGTTATCCCTTTAAACACGCTGTACCAGAATTAGAACATGCTCCTTCCCTCCTCTATGACATGACGACACAGCTCTGAATTCCTAGGCACGTCTTATCATATAATCAGGAGCGTCCGCCATTTCTGATGTCACATGGAGGATTGTCTCTGGGTCACAGATGAGGGATCTTTATCATTTAGCTTTGCGAGTCCATCTATTTTGTGATTTGTATCTTTTACTATAGTCATTTATTTTAATAGATGAGTGTGTTCTGTCCTTTTTTTACTTTCATTCAGGATATTGGCAGTAGGTTCCAGGGGTTCTCTAGATAGCTGCATCTATGTGATGTTTTGGGGGTATTTCATTTTCTAGGACCTACATCTGTCTGTTCTTTTTCAATTAAGATTGGAATTGTTGTTGCACACTTGACACTTTACTTTGCATTGGTGTCAGCCCTGTCTACTTCATTGCTAATAGATTAAAAGAACACAGACCTCGCCCCATCTCCATAACCCCTCCTTTTGCACAGGCAGTTATTGGCTCACAAAATCACTTATCGGAGATATAACAAAATGCTTTCAATGGTATAGTTAGCAGAGCAGAAGGTAACAAATATGAGAAGTCCATGGTTAAGGTTTACATACAGCAACATGCGTCTCTTTCTGACATGGCAATCTTGTAGCACCGCAGTGTCATGTAAGGCGACTGCAGCAGTGCAATTAGGTTTCATGTAGGATTACATGTAGGGCAAGCTCTGAGTCAGGTTTCGGGTACAGGTAAGTTAAGGGTAGGGTTACAGGTTGCACATATGGGCTGGGTGCACCTCTACAGAAAGAGCCTTGGGCAAGTCTCCAGCCCAGAGTAGAAGCTGTTCTCACTTACTCTACTACTGATGAACATAATAATACTTTCACCTTCAAACCTTTCTAAGGTCATTCATAAACAAGAAGCCAGGAGAACAAAGTGTAGCAAAATGGCAGCAGGAACGAGATTGGATCCTATAAGCATCCACTTTCCTTTGCACAAGCTTTCATACTGAACTTGTAACTAAAACCAACAAAAAGCGGATGGATGACCACAAAATATAATCATCACAATTGGGGACTAAAGAATAAATGGACTTTTGTCTGAGTTTTGGGCACAGCTTGTTCTATGTGATGAGTGCCTGAGGGCTAGACCTTTATTTATTATAGTATAAAACAAGTTTTGAGCCACGAAAAGAACGGGACACCACGCCTCTAAATATACAATAGTAATAACGAAAACTGAGGAAAATGGGGCTTTT